AAAATTGCAATGCCATCTTCCAAGGTCTGAGTGCAAGAAACACAAACTGTGTGTCCTCCACCCTCGGACCACCCACCATCGGCACGGAGGACTTCTGGGACCAAATGTGGGGTGGGGAGTTCCCCACCAATAAGCAAGCAACCAAGTCTGCAGTGGACACCGGCTGGGTGTCCTCCAGTCCACTTCTGACTTGTCTACCTGAAGATAGTGTCAGATCCCACTGCTCGTCCCCAAGGCAGCCTCCCCTTCAGACACCAGTCACAAGCCTGGGCCTCAGGAACTTGTGACTGATGGGCTGCAAGTTGGGGGCTCCCATGAACTGCTCTTTGGGTTGAAGTAATTTGCTAGAGCAGCTCAGAAACTCAGGGAAACACTCAGCTTACCAGTTTATATAAAGAACATTGCAAAGGACACAGACGAAGAGATGCACAGGGTGAGGTATGGGGAAGGGGTACTCCACCCTCTGGGAACCTCCACATATTCAACTATCCAAAAGCTCTCTGAACCCTGTCCTTTTGGGTTTTTATGGAGGCTTCATTGCATAGGCATGACTGATTAAACCATTAGCCATGAGTAATCAAATTAATATTCAGCCCCTTTCCCCTCCTCAAAGGTAGAAGAGAGGGGCTGAAAGTCCCAATCCCCTAATCCAGTCCCCATCCTGAAGCTATCTAGGGGCTGCCAGCCAGCCATCAACTGATTACCATACAAAAAGACACCACTGCAGAGATTTTAAGGATTTTAGGAGTTGTGTGCCAGGAAACAGGGTCACAGACCAAATACATATTTCACAATATCACAGTCTGCATGCTCAATTGAGTAGTCATTTGTTCCTAATTATTGCTGAGAATTGGATTTTGCAAATGATTTACCCATTTGGAGGTTGTTTTTTAGAACAAATTCAAGATCGCCCCTATATTCACATCACACTCACACTTGCGTTTCCTTACACATTTGTGAGGCAGAGATAAAAGTGTGGTGTTGACTCCCAGAAAATGGCCCAGCACCCTGCCTCACAAGCCTGTGGTCCTCGTGTGAGCATCCGTTGTCCAACCAGGGAAACAAAGTCACCTAGCACGATGGCTCCCAGAACTTAGCACATCACACACCAGAAAAATGTTCGCACAAAGGGTGGGGCCCTGGGGAGGATTGCAAATGTTTATTTCCAAAATAAGAACACTTGATTAATAAACTATCATCTGCTAGGACCACCATTTCATAGAAGAATGAATACATTAAACCCAACAGTCAGAAGGACAACCTCACCTCTAAGCGTTTCCTCCATAAAAGATAGCCAATAATCTTACATTGACTTTATATGTAAAAGATCATTGTTCATAGTTCTCTCATCCTGCTGCTGCAGATTGGTGAAAATTTCCCTCGTGGGCCTACAAATACCAGTGCAATAACAAAGACAGAGTCTGGAAGCCACTGCCCTTGGCTTTTGCTGTCCGATGCAATAGCCACCAAGCCCATGTGGCTGTGGAGTGTGGCTATTTAGAACTGCAGTGCAGCTGGTCTGAACTGAGATCGGCTATAAGTGTCAAATTCATGCCAGATTTCGAAAACTTAGTAAGAAAAAAAGAATGCATGCTGTCTTATTAGTAGTTGTAAATAATATGGCTTGTCAGCCTTTTGGCTAAGATCAACTGCAGTAGTTTTTATTAATATATTGATACATGCTGAAATGATAATATTTTGCATATATTAGGTTAAATAAAATACATCATGAAAATGAATTTAACTGTTTTTACTTTTTAATGTAGCTACTAGAGAATCTTAAATGCCTACATGGCTCATGTTCTATTTCTGCTGGTCAGTGCTGCTTTAATAGTCAGCATCAAGGGAAGAGTGCACCAACCTCTATGCAGAGATAGATTATAGTTTCTGATTATCAAAATATATATATTATATTTTGATTGAAAAACCAACTAAATAGGACTTGAATTTATGTTTCCATGCAGGACAGGGACGTTGTGACTATGAGAACCTTAACATTTGCTACAAACTGGGCTTAGGGTGACGACTCACTGTTCCAGACTACACATGTGATGCCCGCTGTGGCCACTAGAGGGCAGTGGCGTATATAAAATGTGAGCGTGCACACGGATGTTACCAGAGACCTCCCACCCCACCCACACACATGCTGAGCCGCCATGGGACAGGCACCAGGTAGTTCTTAAAGTCCATCCTCTTGTCTTCCCTCTTAAGTGCCATGTGTCTCTGGAAATGAAAGAGATCACAGAAAACTGGGCAGCCCAGATCCGACCCTTAAACTGTAAGATTCAGCACAGCCCCAGGTGTTCAAAGAGCCAGGCTGTGGGGTCAGGGTTTACCTTCCTGGCTCTGCTACGGACAAAATGCGTGGCCTGAAGCAAGTCGCTGGGACTCTTCTCTACAAGGAGGTGGCACAAGGTGAGCGTTAGCATGTCCTCCAATGTCCACACCCCTTACTTTCCAAGAGCTTAATGGGGAGTCCAAATGAGTTATAATTACAGGTCTTCCAGGCACAATGGTACTATGCTTTTGGGGCCCCCTCTGTTCCAAACATTTAACAATAGTCGATAAAATGCAAAAGTAAAAAATGTAAGTCAAAGCCTGCCCCAAAAGATCAGCATCTCCTAGGATCAGAGAAACAAAAACCCAATGCTGCAATCAGGAATGATACTGCGGGTTTGTTAGGTCCAGGTCAGGGAGCAGGAGAGGTGGCCAGGAGCTCTTCACCCGTGGTGAGCAGGGGACTACCACATGAGGAGTCCCTAAGCCAGGGACTGTGTGGGGCTTCCACACCCAAAAACCAGGGTATAAAATACTGGGGCTGAGGTTTACACAAAGCTTTTTCTCCCAATTGAGGAGGAACCTGGCCAAAAGATGGCCCAGTGACAAGAACGGCAATGTCCCCAAATCATGACAGCATGGATACCTGAGCTGACAATTGAAAATCTGGCTCTGTATTGGGGCCTGTGGGGCCAAAAGGAAGCAACTACAAAACCACTAAGCTGGAAGGTGGTGAGCACAGAGAGAGACTAAAATTACTAATAATGACTCCCCCAAGAGAAAGACTAAGAAATCAGTCAGAAATTGCAATTAAAAAATGCAATGGTATAAACTGAATTCACTTCAGATGAAGTGAAAATAGTAGAGCAATCTGATTTTGCTCTTTTAAAATTATTTTAAAATAAGAATTTATTATCTATTTAGCAAATATTTAAAGCACCTATAATGTCCTAGACACTGTTTTAGGTGCTGAGGATACCATAATAAACAAAACAAAGTGCCTACCCTCATAACACTTACATTCTAGTGAAAGAGACAATTTTTTAAAATTATGTAATATGTCAGGTAGTAACAAGTACTATGGAGAAATGTTTAGGATCCTCAAAGATATAAAGGAATGAATGACAACCATTTATAAAAACATAAATTATGAAATAGGCAAATATAGGCAAAATAGGCAAAACATAAGTAAGTTATGAAAAAGAACCAGTTGAAATGAAAAAATGTAGGCATTAAAATACATAAACTCAGTAGTATTAAACGAACTCTATGAAGTGATGGTGGGGAGACACATTCATGAGAAAGCAGTACCAAAGAAATCACCCATGACACAGCACAATGAGAAAAAAATGTATTTGTAAAAAGATGAAAGGGTAATTAAAAGGTATAGAAGGTAGACTAATGGCACCAACATACAACTAATAGAAATTTCAGAAGAAAAGAAGGAATGAGAAAGAAGTGATTTCAAAGAGATAATATTTGAAGTTTTCCAGTATTAAAGTTAGACTTCACTAAGAACTCACTAGATACAGACACATAGGAACTTGCATTTTCACTATGATGTATCTAGGTGTCCATACATCACAGTGAAACTGAGATATGTAAGGATAACAAAAAATATCTCATCAGAGAAAATAAGATGGATTACCTACAAAAGAAAGAAAACTGATAGTAGCGACGCCATCAGAAACAGATGCCAGAAATCATGGGAGGAACTCTTGCCAAGTGCTAAAGAGAAAGTTACTATCAAAACAGAATTTTAAACCTAGCTAAACTATTATTCATTCAAGACAGAAAAATACTTTTTTTCAGGCATACAATAATTAAAAGGAATTACAGCCCATGGTCCCCACATAGAAGATTTATTAAAGAGTGACACCACAATGGAAATCACAAAAGTTTAGAACGGACAACAAAAGCACTGCATATCTAAGCCCTAACAGTGGCTGTCATGTGTTGCTTCCAACTATGAGCCAGGAATTACATTAGATATTTCCCAGCATAGCTCTTAGCCCTCAGGGTCGAGTTATGAACTAGATATAGTAACCCTCTTGCAAGGATGAGAGGACCTCTTGGTAGAACACGATAGCCATGCTCTTACCAACTAAATGCTTGTGTCTCTCAAAATTCATGTATTGAAACCCTAATGCCCAATGTGCTGGTATTAGGAGGTGAGGCCTTTAGGAGGCGATTAGGATTAGATGAGATTATGAGTGTAGACCCCTCGTAATGGGATTAGCGCCCTTATAAGAAGAAGAAGAGGTTTCAGAGCTTCCTGTCTCTGCCATTTGAGGACACAGCAAGAAGGCGGCCATCTGTTGGCCAGGAAAAGAGCCCTCCCCAGAACCCAACCATGCTGGCACCCTGATCTTGGACTTCTAGCCTCTTCCAGAACTGTGAGGAACAAATGTGTGTTGCTTAAGCCTGCAGTCCCCAACCCCTGGGCCCCAACTGGTACCAATCCAAGGCCTGTTAGGGAACAGGCACCGCCCCCACCCCCACCCTTGGGTCTGTGGAAAAATCATCTTCCATGAAACTTAGGAACTGAAGGGCCGCACAGCAAAGGGTGAGCAGCAGGCGAGCATGTGAAGCTTCATCTGTATTTCCGGCCGCTCCCCATCACTCCCATCACCGCCTGAGCTCCACCTCCCCCACCCCCGTCTGTGGAAAAATCGTCTGCCATGAAACCAGTCCCTGGTGCCAAAATGGTTGGGGACTGCTGGCTTAAGCTACCCAGTCTAATATTCTTTCATAGAAATCTGAGCTAAGATACATGCATAATGATCTGGGTCTTCACAAAGATAAAGAACCAATGAAAGTGCAGGTGGAACTGTCCTGATCCTTGGGAACAAGAAGGGGGCCTGTGCCAGGTACAAACAGCTGTGTGGCAGGCAGCAGTGGGCGGTGCCCTAATTCAGGAGTATTCCGTGCTCGTGATTACCTTTCCCCCTGCTCACCTTTCCCTTAAGTCTGGGCTGAGCCTGCCTCGTTTTAAATACAGCTGTCCCTTGAACGGCATGGTTTGAACATCTCAGGCCATATACACACAGACTGTCTTCCACCTCTGCCAGCCCTGAGAGAGCAAGGGCAACCGCCCCCTCCTCCTCCTCGTCCTCAGCCTGTTAGTGTGAAGATGAGGAGATGAAGACCTCTCTGATGGTCCATTCCCACTTAATGAACAGTCAGTACATTCTCTTCCTTGTGATTTTCTTAGTAACATTTTCTTCTCTCCAGCTTACTTTATTGTAAGAACACAGTATATAACACATTTAACATACAAAATATGTGTTAATCTATAATATATAACATGTTATATGTTAAGATATAACATTAACATACAAATAGGTGTTAATATGTTTGTTATCGGTAAGGCTTCTGGTCAACAGCAGGCTACGGGTAGTTAAGTTTTTTGAGGAATCAAAACTTATACACTGCACAGAGGGTCAGTGCCCCTAACCCTCTTGTTCTTCAAGCGTTGACTGCACTATAGTTATCAAGAACATCTGCTCAGCTTTTACAAGAACTAGGTTCAAGCTGTGAACAGAGGCATTTATAGGAACCGCACACTTGGACCTGAGGTCGCCAGGCCTGGCTGTACCCTGGAATCTCCCGGGGAGCTTTCAAGCATCCCATGCCCTCCCCACCATTGATTAGATTAACTTGATCTTGGCTGCTAGCTGGGTAACAGGATTTTTAACCCCTCTGAGTGATAGTGCAGTGTGATCACAGTTGAGAAGCACTGGCTGGGACCGGGTAAGACGAAGGAAAGCTGTCCTGCCGTCCGGCAGGCTGGATCTGGGGCGAGGGCCTGTCAGCCCCTCTGGGCAGCAGGCAAGCGCTTTAGCAAAGCTCAGCGGCCGCTGCTCTGACAGCCCTGGGAACCGGTTCCCCTTTCCTTGGAGGGAAAGTGTACCTCTTCTTTGAAATCAGAAATGAGGAAGCGTAGGGTACTTCTCAGCAAGACTAAAAATTCTCCAAGATTGGAAGAGGGGAGCCTTCTCTTCTCTTGACGTTGACAAGATCAAAGGCCGTTGGCCTAGCAGCAAGGGCAGTATGCGCAGACACTCATTGCTCCCGGGCACGGCCTCTGGTGGAAATGACCTAGACAGAGTAAGTTTGCTGTTAAACCTTGTTCCTTTGGATCCAGAAAGCACTCCTCCACCTCCCCTCTCCTCTCCCTGTCCTCCGCCCCCATCTCTCCAGCCCCACCCCACTCAGAATCCTGGTCACACCTTCCCATCTGGCAGCCTGCACCCCCAGGTGTCTGGGGGCCCCTGCGCCTGCCTCCATGGCACACCTCGCCCTTCCTGCGTCCAGCTGCTCACACCCGAGTTGCACCGGCCCTGCACAGACAGACCCCCTGCCCCTCCCCCGGCTGCTCCTCCCCCCCAGCCCGGCTCACAGAGGAGGCAATTGTCTTCCTAAGCCACCATGTGTTGACTGAATCATCTTCCTGCATTCGTGACTCCAGTTGCTTATTACGTAAAACCCAACCTCCTTAGCAGAAGCCTGCGTCTTCCCCTAGCCTCGCCTCACTCCTCCGCCCCCATCCCTGTGTTCCCCCAAGGCGTGAGGCCGCCCACCCCTCCCTCCTGTGATCACTGGCTCCAAACAGAAAACTCTGACCCCAACCCTCTCCTCTCTGCTCCTTTGCAACCCCTCCGGACACCTGACACCACCCCGACCCCGTTCTGGCCTTCTAGGTCTGCAGAGCTCTCCCAGAGCCTTAATTTCCCTTTAATTCCATCCTGGGCCCCTAATAGGAGGTGAAAACGGAAAGAAACGTGAGGGAACTATCCCAGCTTGTCACCGGACTCACCCCCACTGTGCCCGGTGTCTAGCAGGTGCCTAAGAAATGCCACCCAAAGAGAAACTAGGTATTTCTGGCCAACAGAAACTGCCTGTCCACTGGGGTCCAGAGGCCTGGGGCCTGCTTCCCGATGACAGTCTCCCTGCTCAGATATCTTTCTAGAACTAGACGTGACACTGAGCAGCAAGTCCCATCTCCCGCGCACGTGGTCAGTCCCTTGCGGGCAGGGGCCATGCCTGGGCTGGGCTGGCCATGCCAGGGCCAAGCTGAGCGCACTCGGGGGTTTGCTGCTCACCTGCTGCCCGGCCCCTCCCGGAGAGTGGCGCTCCAGGCTGGCTCCCCGGCGTGAGCTGCCACAGCCACCGCGGCGAGAGGACAAGCGCCTGCTTGCTCCCTGCCTGGAGCACCTCGCCACGTAAGCTGAGGTCCGCGCCCCGAGCATCTTGGGGCACCCACTGGAAAAGGAAAGTAAGAAAGACGCCCCCAGCGAGGGCTGAGAGCCACACAGAGGAGGAAGTGCTCAAGGGCCCACGCCTTCCCCCGGAGGGGAGGCCGGGTCTGGGGTCCAGCTCCTCCCAAGACCAGCCCCTCCCACTCCTGCCTGAAGGTCTAGAAGTTACCCAGCTTCCCTGGCCTGCGCACATCTACAGCGGGAGGCTGGGGAGACCCATCTCAGCGGCCTCGGTGACAGCACAACGCGCTTTCGGTGAATGCCCGGATCACCGCGGTTGCGTGGTTGTGTGGCTGTGCAGTTGTGCAGACGCTGTGGTGTGGCTGTTGTGTGCTCGTGTGGTGGCGGCAGTTCTGGTGGTGACTGCAGTCGTGCTGGTGTGTCCAAATGGTGTGGTTGCTGCAGCTGTGGTGCTGGGGGCGGTGCTCATTGTGGTTGTGAGGTTGTGCGGTCGTTGGGGTATTCTGGCTCCTTCATCGCAGATGGAGGAGGAGGACGCCAGCTGCTGGGGAGGGGCGGCCACGCAACACCTGCCGCCGACGCCTCACACTGCAGCTCCCAGCTGTGCCCAGGCAAGCAAGGAAAGGGAAGGGCAGAGAAAGGAAATTTTCTCCAGGTGAGTGTATGTTGGAGAGGAAGCAGGTGAGCTGCCCCGGCCCCGGCCCCGCAGCCCTGTCGCTCTGGCTGGAGGCGATCCCTAGCAGGGCTGTGCAGGCCTCTCATGCAGAGCTGAGTCAAGTGCAAGGGCTTTAAAACCTTGGAGGTGCAAGTCTACACACACAGCAGCCCTCCAGTCCCAGGAAACCGTCATCTGCACCAGCAGAAATAGACCCTGCCCCACCCACTGCCCTGAGCTGCCTCGAGCAAGCCTGGACAGGCACGCCGAGAGCCTTGGAGGCAATGGGCAAGTGGGTTGAGGCTAATGGACAAACATGCCTCAGGTCACAGCAGAGGGCCCACATCACGGCCACCTCCTTGACCCTGGGCCCTGGAGTTAGCAGGAGGCCGAGCGGGCCTCTCCCTGCACACTTTTGCCCGACATCCTTCTAGAAGCCCTGTGAGTGGATCGGCACCGTGGCGAGGCCACGAGGTTTACCCAGCATGGCAGGCACAGCCCCCAGCCCCTGGTACCCAGGCCAGAATTTTACAACTGCTTCAGGGAACCCAGGGAATCCTGAGTGACATATCCCCCTCCCTGCACCTGCTCCCTCTCATAAATGTATTGGTTTTTTTATAAAAATATATAGATACGACTTCACATGACCCAGTGGTCAAAATACACAAAAGGAAACACAGTAAAATAGCCACCTCCCATAGCTTTCCCTTACGAATATATGATGCAAGCAAACATGCACCTGTATATGGACCAGGGAGAATGGTGTGGGGATTAGAACCACAAACTCTGGAGCCAGCCCGCCCAACTCAAGACCCAGCCCTGCCCCTCACCAGCTAGTACGTGACCCGGCAACCTCTCTCTGCACCAGTTACTCTCACCTGCAGGACGGGACATATCACAGTCCCCACCTCGCAGGACCATGCTGAGGTTCAACAATACGTATCAGCTCTCACGGTCACCAACGTTGCTCTTTTCCATTCTATAGAAAGGATAGCATGCAGTTTTGCACGTGCCATTTTGCACCTTATTTTTTTTCCACTTTAAAGTGTATCTGGGAGCTCATTCCCACATCAGTACATCCATAAAAAGCTTCCGTAGTTTTGTTTTGTTTTTTTTTTTTTTAGAGCTGCACAGTATTCCATTGTCTCAATGTACCAGAGTTTATTTAGCCATCAATTTATTTTGATGGACATTTAGGTGGTCCCCAGTCTTTTATTCTTTCACACAATGCCACAATGGATAGCTTCATACATACTTCATTTTGTCCAAAAGTGATACCATAAATTCCCAGATAGAGAATGCTGGTCAACAGGGATGTGCATTGGTCATTTTCGCCACCCATAAAGGTTATATGGTTTTAATGTCCCATCAGCAACAAGGAAGAGTTTCTGTTCTCCATACCTTCACCAACAGAGTATATAAACAAATTTTTTACCTTTTGTCAGTTTAGTAAGTACAAAATGGCAAATGCTGTCTCTCTTTAGTTTTATTTTATAATTTCTCTTATTATGAGTAATGTGGAGTGGCTTTTTATATGTTTATAAAACATTTGTGCTCCTTTTTCTATGAACTCTCTGCTCATATCTTTTGTCCATTTTCTTATCATATCATGTGTCATTTTTCTTATTGGTGAGTAGAAAGCCTTTATGTATTAGAAATATTAGCATCATTTTTCTGATTTGACATTACTCTTTTAAGTTTGCTTTTGTTAGCTTTTCCATACATAATTTTTAACACAACGTAAGTTATCATTTTTTTTTCTTTATGGCTTTAGTGTCACACTTTGAAAGTTCTTCCCTATTCCAACATTGTCATTAGATCATTTTGTTGATCTCCTATAGTTTCTTTTAGCCTTTTTAAAAATTTAAACCACTGACTTCTCCCAGTATGTATCCTGATATAAGAAATGAGGTTGGGATCCAACTTAATTTTTTTCCAGATGCCTACCTAGTTGTCTCAACACCATTTATTAAATAATTCATCTCTTTTTCACCAGTAATTTGAAATGCCATCATTATCACAAGCTAAACTCCCAATACCTTTTGGTCTATTTCTGAACTTATTTTGTTCCAACTCCAAGTTGTCCTACACGGTTTTGATTATTGTAACTTTACAATGTGCATTACAGTATTTCTTATAGGGCTAGTTTCCCATTCATTTTTCTTGCTTCCATTTTCATATGAACTGTTAGTTTTCTTAGGATTTCTTTCAATTTATAGGTTTGCTAAAGCAAAACTGATATTCACTATTTAACTGAATATGTTGTTGAGTCAGTTTCTGGTGAATTATATTTTCCTAGAAAAGTATCCAGTATATCAGGGCTTGCAAAGTTAGGGGGCTCCCAAGACAACACTCCTGTTTAATAATTTACAGTAAGGACTCACAGAACTCACCAAAAGCCGTTATACTCATGGTTATGGTTTATTACAATGAAAGGACACAGACTAACATCAGCCAGGAGAAGAGGCACATAGGGCAGAGTCCAGGAAAGCTCCAAGCACGAACCTTCCAGTTGCCCTCTACCAGTGAAACCATGGACAGTGCTATTAATACTAAACCCAGCAACAATACGTGACAGTAGACACAGAGTGCTGCCAACCAGGGAAGCTCACTTGGGCTTGAGTGGCCAGAGTTTTTATTGGGGCTCAGGAACATAGACATGACTGACCGCCCATAGCACTGACCTTTGGCCTCCAGACCCTTCAGAAGGAGAGCAGACACTGTGTGTCACAAGCTCCCATCATAAATCACATTGTCAGACTATCCAGTGTGACCCAAGGCCTCCAGGTAGACAAAGACACTCTTATCAGGCAGGATACTCCAAGGGCCTAGAGCTTACATCCCAGGAGCCAGGACAAAAGCTAAATCTCTCTTTGGGTAAGGTTAATTCTTAACTATATACGTTTTTAAATTTCTTTACATGAAGTTGAACAAAATAGTCTCTTAAGGATTCTTTTCATTCCTTCTGTTTCCTCCTATTTCCCCTTAGCATTTCTTATTTGTGCTTTTTCCTTTCTTTTCTCTTGATAAGTTTAGCTGACCATTTACAAATTTTATTGTTTTTTCGAAGAATTCGCTTTTAAATTTATTTGTTGTAATTAATTATAATACATTTTTTTCTGTTTCTTAATTCACCGATTTCTGCTTCAACATTTATCAATTCCTCCCGTCTGCTTTCCTAAAGTGTAAGTGCCTCTTTTCTAACCACTTCACTGGGATGCTTATTTCATTTTTCTCTTCCTGTTTAATTTTTTATTAATTCATTCTAAGACTATGTGTATTAGTCACAGTTCTCCAGAGAAATAGAACTAATAAGATATATTATTAAAGATATTTATTAATTTATTATAAAGAACTGGCTTACATTACGGAGGCTGAGAAGTCCCAAGGTCTGCAGTCAGCAAGCTGGAAACCAAGAATGGCTGGCAGTGTCGTTCTTGTCCAAGTCTGAGGCCCAAGAACCAGGACAGCCAACACGTAAGCCCCAGTCCAAGTGTGAGTCCAGAGGCAGAAGCACAATGCTCCAGCTCGAAGACAGGTGCACGGAGAATTCTCTCTCACTCTGCCTTTTTGTTTTGTTCAGGCCTTCAGTAAATTGGATGAGAGCCACATCAGGAAGGGCAACCTGTTTCAGATAATCTAACAATTCAAATGTTAATCTCATCGAGAAACACCCTCAAGACACACCCAGAATAAAGTTTGACCAAATATCTGAGCACTCCCTACAGCCCAGTCAAGTTGACACATGAAATGAACCATGATACTATGCATTTTCCTCTGGATACTGCTTTAACTGTACCTCATGAACTCTGATAAGTAATGTTTTTATTATTGTTATTTTAGATAATCATTCCATCTTGAAAGTGCCTTGTGGCTTACAGTAGGAATGTTTTGCTCCTAAACTTTGACTAAGCAGTAAGTACAACTTGCCTTTTCATATTAGGTTGATCTGATTCTTATGACAGTAATATGATGGTGAACCAGGCCTTTCTCAGGGCCCGGAAGTTGCTTTGAAAGAATTCTCTTAGAACTTGAAAAGCTCACTCAAATATCAATAGAAACATGCCCCTACCTATCTAGATGGGTTTCTTAACAATCATGATCAAAAGTTCCCACTGTTGAATCTTGAATCTAAGAGGAAAAAAAGGAGCCACTACCTCCTTCCCATCCAAGGATCATAAATAATATATATTATTAACAATAATTATAACAGCTACCATAATTCCACCTAATGTATGTTTCCAGTGTTTTATAAATGTCACCTTATTTAAATTTTGCACCAGTTCTAAGATGGAAATATCATACTCTACATTTTAAAGATGAGAAAACTAAGCCTCAAAGGAGTTACATAACTTCCTTAAAATTACACTTTTTTAATTGGAGGAGCTAGGGTTTCACATGTGCTTTGAAATAAAGCCCATGCAGTTTTTCAGGATGATACCCTCCCTCTTTTGTCCACCTCTCTGCCCCAACTTGCAGCAATAAGATGGTTCTGCCTCTGTTGGCAAAACTTATTTTCCAGGCAGAGTAAGTACATCTGCCGTGGTCCACTCTCTCAATTAGGTAAAAGTCCAGCCTGGAATTCTGGAACCGAAATGCAGCGGGCCACCCAGCCATGGAAGGCCTTTGCCCGTGGAAGCCATATGGATGAGGAAGACTCGGAGCCAAGCGCTAATGAAGAGAAAGGGGAGGGAAATCTGAGTGGGGGCTGAGAGAGCAGGGGCCTGGCACAGCTGCTTCAGAAGGGGGACATGGTGACAGGCCATCAGTACTGACCACAGAGCCTGTGTGTGCTGGAAACACCAGTCGCCCGTGCCAAGCCCATTAAGTCCATCTCAGCTGTCTGGCAACTGCCCTGTAATGAAACTCGCAAACAACTTCCTATATTTGAGGCTTCAGTTCGTGTTGTTGGCCGAGTTTCAGTGGCACCAGAGAAGATGACCACATGGGGCCCCGATAGCAGCCTCCGGAGCAGACCTCGGAGCACCTGCCAAACCGGCAGATTATCAGAGCCCTGCTGCAAGGAGATAAGGAACGTTCTGATCCAGCCCCGAGAAGGGCAGGGCTTTATATAGCAGCCTGAGGAGGCTGCAAGAGAATGTCCTGGCCGAAGGCTGCTCTCCAGCCAAGCAGAGAGCGGAGTGGGTGGGGAGGAAGGAGGGAGCTTTATAAATAACCCGGTGTGTGCTGATCTGCTCGGCGGCCCTGCCTCGGCAAAGCCTGAGATCTGGGGGAGGAGAGGGACATTTATAGATGACTTTTATTGTCTTCATGCTTCTCTATATTTTCCAAGTTTTCTACAATGAACTTGAACTCCTTTTATAGTCAGCAAACATGAATACAATTTTAAGAAAGTAAGAAAGAGAGGCATAAAAGGAACTCCTTTGGTTGGGGGTTTTAGTGGCCAGTGCTTAGAGGTCCCCAAACAGGCACCCGAGCTCTCGTCAACTTCTCTGGTCGCTCCCAGAGGGGACCTCGTGGTGCCTGTACCTGCCTATGCTGCAGGATCCAACCAGTCTTCTCAGCCCCTCCATGGTTCCTTCTTCCCCCACGCCCTTACTCCACTCCCACCAAGTCAAATGTCACTGTTCCTGGCTTGTTGTTTTTAGATAAGGCGCCCACGCCCCTTCTCTCTGCCGGGGTGCAGGAAAGTCACTCAGGTATGTCTGCCCTGCCTGCTTCCTGGCCCCCTACCACTAGCTTAGTGACTGGGGGGAAAATCAACGGAGTCCTTGGACAGAGAGTGTGGTTTACACTTCCTGTGCCCCAGACTCCTTGCCTGGGAGGTGGGGGTCATACTGCACCTGCCCCCCAGAGATGATATGAAGATGCAAATAAGACAGTGACAGTGACTGTGAAGTGCCTGACACCTTGGAGATGCTCAATTAAATATTAACGGATTACCCAGCCACTGTACCTCCCTCTCCCAACACAGCCACCACCCCCCAGTCACCACGTCTACCAAATTTGGCAAAAATCACTTTCACTGTTTCTAAAAATAACTCCTCCCAGGAGGTGTGAAGATTCACCAACCCAACTCTGGCGCTGATTCAAAGTGGGAGTTGCAAACATGCTTTGAGAGGTGAGAGGTTTCTTGGAATGAAGCCTTCATAGTGGCCCGTGCAGGGCGGCAGCCCCCAGCAGGATGTGTGAGTCATGACATGGGTGCTGTGTAGACAGATAAATGAGTAAACACGCTCATGGAGGCTAAGGGCAGCTCGTGACTCTGGGGCAATATTTAGGAGACAAAAGTAGGTAAACTATCCATTGATCCCTATTTTTTGAGCGAGTGCAAGTGTTATGTGCAAAAAGGCACTGTGCTAACATTCAAAAATGGAAACTTTTAAAAAGATGAGAGTTTCTGCTCTGAAAGAGATTACAGTCTGATCAAGGAAGTAAACTGCAGACACAGGAATAGAAAGCTCGCTCAGCAAAGCAAGAGATGACCCGTGCAGTGATAAGGGGAGAGATTGGAAGAGAAATCCCGCTGAGTTCTGGAGGTCAGAGCAGCCTCAGGGAGGAAATTAATATGGTCAATAAGTGGGCGCCAGGCCCTGCAGTATCCTGATGTACTCGGGATGGAGACGGAGAGAAAGGGTCTCACATGCCAATGTCAACAAGACATGGCACTGGGTACACATATAAGTACATGGTCTTTTTTGATCCTGACAAGAGTATTGTCTGGTGTTACCATTCCCATTTTACAGATAAGAAAACCGTGGCTCCAAGAAGCTCAGAGAAGTTAAGTTGTATGCCCAAGGGCACATATAGCAGAGGCAGGATTCAAACCAAGTTCTACCTGGCTCCATAGGCCATACTCTGGCTTCTACTACCTGAGACTCCCCGAACTCTGTCTCCCAGAACAGACCTGGGCTGCCTGTGACCAGGAACTGGGCTCTCATTCCATGGCTGCAGCCTCCCAGTAAAGAACGCTGCCCAGTGTGGCTGGCAAATTCTCTGGAGATATATTGACTTTATTTTGCCTGCCAGGATCATGAGATAAGGAGCTTAGATCAAAGTAATAATTTTTATAGTGTTATATATTTAAACCCCTCCTTCCACTTTGTAGCAACGTTCCCAGTTGAGCAACTCACCACGTGTATCACAACAACAGTTCATGATAAGCAGCATGAACTCTTCAGGAATGACATGGGAATAAGACAGGAATAATCTTCTCAAAGGGACCTTTTCCCACAATTTTAAGCCATTCAGAATTGGAGGAGTTTTGTGATGTAACAAATAGCACCTGCTGGTTAGCACTGAAAAAGTCCCCAGATACAATCTGGGTACAGCCAACATCAAGATATTGCCCAAATCCATTGGTGTCATGCCCAAAGGCCACTCAATGTCAATATTACGCAAGCCTAAGCATCACATTCCCAAAGGCATTGACTAGTATTTATGGAGCTTGAGGTTCATGGTTCTTAAAACCAGTTGAAAATTACAATCCAGTAACCTTTAACTTAATCCCAGCTCAGACTATATAACCATATCCTAATAAGGAAAAGAGTCCCAGAAGGTCTCTAAAAGAACAGTGCTTTTAAATGCTGGTGCCCTCCAAAACTCAAGCTGAAATTTAATCCCTAATGTAACAGTATTAAGAGGTGGGTCAGCCGGGTGCACTGGCTCATGCCCGTAATGCCAGCACTTTGGGAGGCTGAGGAGACAGGACTGCTTGAAGCCAGGATTTCAAGACCAGCCTGAGCAAGAGCAAGACCCTGTCTCTACTAAAAATAGAAAAATTAGCTGGGCGTCATGGCACATGCCTGTAGTCCCAGCTACTTGGGAGGCTGAGGCAGGAAGATCACTTGAACCCAGGGGTTCATGACTGCAATGAGCTATGATCATGCCACTGCACTCCAGCCTGGGTGGCAGAGTGAGACCCTGTCTCAAAAAAAATAAGAAATAAAGAGCTAGTCTGGTCCTCTCTTGGAAACCCTGCACTGCCTCAGGACTCAGCAGAGGGTCCCCACCAGCAAGAAGGCCCTCCCCAGATGCAGCCCTTTGACCTTGGTCTTCCCAGCCTCCATAGCTGTAAGAAATAAATTTATTTTCTTTATAAATTTCCCAATCTAAGGTATTCAGTAATAGCAACAGAGAATGGGCTGAGACAAAAGGGAGCTTGGCCACGAGGGGCTGCAGACCCACTGCTCAGGGAGCCAGGCCAGGGTGATAGGGCTGTGGCACGCTGGTTGCAGCCCTCTGTTCTTCAGCTGGGAGCCCCGTGTTGGGGAGAGATAGCAATAAATATCATTCCTCTTTTATGACCATATTAATAATAAAACGGATCCAAGAAACATGACTCAGGTACACAGTAACAGCAGGTTTCCTGAGACTGCGTGTGTCCCAGGACAAGGCAGACTCGCCCGCCCGGGCTCGAGCACAGCCGCCTCACCCAGCACCTGGCTCAAAGCGATGACAACATGCACTCTCCGCAGGGAGACCCTAAGAGAGAGCCAGGAAGGGACTGGACCAGATGCCCTCAGTTTCCTTTCCCAAGCCCATCAAGCAGTTCAACTGCTGGAGAAAAGAGGGTAAGGGAAGCGAGTAGCCAGGAGTGTTACCATAATCAAACTCCCTCTTTG